AAATACATATGTAAGTAAAATTTAAAGTTTTTAGAAGTACTAGAACTTCTTGAATCAGGTAGCTATAGCAGAGATGGCTACATCCTTCCATTCTCTCAGTCGTAGAAACCCACCTTGACTTGGGAATTTGGGTGCCTGAAACCACATGTCCCTGTTAGGGGGAAAGGATGTCCTAAAGCTAATTCCATACAGGCTTTGTGGACTCCACCCCCACCCCAGGCCAAAGCCATCAGGACATTGGGAACTCCAAATCCCATCACCACCAAAGGGAAGGTGGCTGGGACCTGAGGGTGGGGTTAAGCAGCCAGTTTGGTATAAAGCCAGACACGTGGGCTTTGGAGGGGATCCCCCATTTTGGCTCTCGGCCAGCTCGCAGCATCCGGCCAGCTCTGAGAGTGCCTTTGGGTTTCCAGGTCGGCAGATCGGGTAGGACGCATTAAAGACTTTATTTCCCTATTTTCTTCCTGAGTTGTACATTTTCCTTATTTCCTTTTCCCTTGCAAATAAACCTTTTATTAACCTTTTGTGTGTGTCTGTAGTGGACTAACAAGTCCCTTGTAAGCGTGCAGGTGAGGACCCACAGCCAGGCAACCCGTTCAATATCGGGGCTGCCCTATAACATCCCCACTTTCCTTGCCTCTAGGTATGAACATAAGATAAGTTCTGGCCACAGATGAGTGAACACATCCAGAAACTTCTTCTAAGTGTCTTAGAGTGTGGAGTGCACCCTCCTTTCTCTCTTTCTCCTATCTGGCTAGGATGTAAGCACAGTGGCTGGAAGCAGCTATCTTATGCCATGAAGTGGAGGCTATGTGTTGAGAATGGCAGTGGAGCAGACAGAAGGAAACTTTATGTAATAAGGAGCGCTTTCTTGGGCCTCCCCTGGTGGCGCAGCGGTTGAGTGCTGGGTTGTGAGGCTGCCCACAGCCTCTGCAGCGCCAGTTCGATCCCTGGCCACTGGCGAGGGTCCCACAAAAAAAATACATAAATAAATAAATAAAAATAAAAACAGACTCTTGAAAAAAAAAAAGAAAAGGAGCACTTTCTTGTTTGAGCAAGATTTGTACCACTCATAGTCATACTTAGCCATGAGTGATACACAGCATCAAGCACCTGGAGCAGTGCCCGGCCCTTCACAGACACCCAAGCCGAGGATCTGGCCCAGTACACACAACCCCACTGGGGTAGGATGGAAGGAGCACTGGTTCAGCTGCTTGTCTTGCTCTTCCACCTCTGAAGGCCACAGCACACAGCTGGAAGAGGGCTTGCCCCAACAAGAGGGCACGCATCAAGCCACATGCTTTTCTGACCATGCATTTTGCTGATTGAACTAGATTTTCTCTGGCTGTTATTAGAATGAGGCTTCGTTTCCTGCCATCTGCTGTTTGGGTGGCAGGGAAGTCCTCTGGGTGCCAGAGGAGAAGTTGCCTGGATTTGGAAATGCTTCATGGATGCCCAGGAGCAGAGGGACTGAGGGCGGAGTTCCATGGGCACCCTGCCACACACAGGGACTTTCAGGGGCTTTCAGCCCAGGCCTGAGCTGCATCCAGATACTTTGCACTGCACTTGTGAAAGTGGGTGGAGGAAAGCACAAGGTGGAAGAGGCGTGTGAGTGTATCCATGTGTGAGAGCACATGTGAGCATGTCTGTGATGCTCTGTAATTGAGTATGTAAGAGAGAGAAAGACAGAGTGGGGGGTGGGGAGGACCCTGCTTATCCCCCTCATGGCCACCAGCACAGGCAAGGCTCAGGTCTAGCCATGCTCATTGGCTCATTTTGTCTTCTAAAATCTACAGAGCAGGTGCAGCTTTGGGAGTTGCACCCCAGCTTTCCCACTGGGCCTCCCTGAACCTCACCACCCTTATATGAGCTGGCACTCAGGAAGCAATTCTGGGATTACAGATCCCACGCAGTCACCAAGGCGTGGGTTCTCACACTTGCACACCCAAGTTCACAGCAGCACTCTTCACAGAAGCCGCCCCCGTGTGCGTCAGTGAATGGATACAGAAAATGTGTACACACAGTCAAAAGTCATTCAGCTGACACCTGTGACAACATGGCAGGGGCTTGGGGACATTGCAGTCAGGGCAATAAGGCAGACACAAGACAAGGACTGTATGATTCTGCTTATGTGAAGTCAGATTCTCTGAGACAGAAAGTGGGTGCCCGGAGACTGAGGGAAAGAAGAGTGGGGAGTAATTGATTAATGAAATCAGAATTCAGTTAGGGACATGAGAAGAGTTCTGGGGATGGATGGTGGTGATGGCTGTGCCACACACAAAGGCGCTTAATGCCACTCAACTGTGCACATAAGAGTGATTAAGATGGCATACAGACATAGATGATATTGCTGTCCATTTAGAATGTTTTTGGTACCTGACCTTCTAGGTCAATCTCTCTGTGGCTGTCCCAGCCTGTGTCCAGTCAGGGGGTAGGGTCACACAGGGACCTGTGGGGATATTTCATAGGATGAGTTGGCAGTGGTGAGCTATAAGAGAGCTTCAGGGTAACCCAGGGAGGGCCAATAACAAGGGTCAGGAGAAGCTTGTGTCGGAGAAGAGAGCTGCCCCTCTGATGAGTAGCTCAGGGTCCAGGAGTGAGCAGAAGCCAGGGCAGCAGCTCCCCACAGGGATGACTCTCTCACGGCCATACCTCCCTTCCTTCTGACTAACATTCTATTGTGTCCAGATGGTGGGTAGCAATGCCAGTTTGGAGACCCTAAAAGAGTCGCCAAACAGTAGAACTTAACAATAGAGCAGTCTTCTGCACTGGGGTGGTGGCTCACCTCCTTGAGAGCTGCAGAGCCCATTGCCTTCTCCCCTGCCCTGCACCCAGCTCAAGTCTGTTCCTTGACACAAAGCTTCCATCTTGTCCAGGACACAGCCTCCATCCAGGCATTGCAACTCCATTCTAGCCAGTGGGAACAGGGAAGTGCTCCCCACTTCCTTTCAAGATTTGACACAGAAGTTGTGCATGTTATTTCTGCTCATACTTCCTCAGACAGAATTTAGTTGCATGGTTTGCCTCACTTTAACGGAGACAGGGAAACATGGTCTTTATTTGAGGTCATCTAGGTAAAACTTGGAGGATTACTTCCTAAAAATCAAGAAGGAAAGTATGTGGCTGAGTGGCAGCTTTTGCTCCAAAGGAACAACTAATCAGCCCCATGATAGGTCAAGACTGAGTCGATTTTGGGCCTCCCCTGGTGGCGCAGCTGTTGAAAGCTGGGCTGCGAAGCTGCCCGCAGCCTCTGCAGCGCTGGTTTGATCCCCGGCCACCAGCGAGGGTCCCACATGGCACGCAGACCTCTCCTGGCAGACCTCTCCTGCCACGCCCACTGCTCCCCTCAGCACTGTATTTCATTGGTCTGCCTGTTCTGTTCCCCGCTCTGGCTCTGGTGAATTCTCTCACCCTCCCGCGCTTCTGACTGTACCCAGTGCTTAATTAATTAATTAATTAATTAACCTTTAAAAAAAAAGACTGAGTCAATTTTGTTCCTTATTTCCCAACCTCTCTTGCTGGGATAGGTGACACTGTGACCTAAAGGGCAGGCCGCTGGGGAATTCAGGGTTCTGCTTTCTGGATAAAATGAAGCAGATATAGCTAGTGGTCTCCTCCCTGCTTCTCCTTGGCCTGCACACAAACATGATGCCTGGAGCCATAGCAACCTTGTTGTGACCAGGAGATAGCCACCTTGGGGCAACAAGAGCATCCTTGAGCCACTGTCCAGACATCATCTGCCTCTAAGTGAGGCAGCTGCTGCTCAGATCTGATCCAGTGATGGGAAGGAGGAGAAATCCCATTTCTACTGTATAAGACCCCATCTATTTCTTTTTTTTTATGTTTATTTATTTATTTGTTTGTTTGTTTGTTTTGTTTATACATGCACTGGGTACAGTCAGAAGCATGGGAGGGTGAGAGAATTCACCAGAGCCAGAGCAGGGAGCAGAGCAGGCAGAAGGACCGAAGTATACTGCTGAGGCAGGAGAGGTCTGCGGGCGGCAGGAGAGGTCTGCGCGCCATGTGGGACCCCCCTCCGGTGGCCAGGGAGCAGCCGGGGATCGAACCAGCACTGCAGAGGCCACGGGCAGCCTCGCAACGCAGCGCTCAACCGCTGCGCCACCGGGGAGGCCCAAGACCCCATCTATTTCTAATGGAATTTTGCTTATAAACCTTCTCTGACAATGGGACCCAAGGATGAGGTCAGTGGATTTGGTGGGTGCTACAAGCAGTTCTCTGGCCACCACCTGGCAGGTCAAGCTGCAGTCCAGAAGGGAGGACACACTTTTGGTGCCACAGCTGGTATTGTTGCCTGAGAACTCACTCCAGCTGCCTCTATTGCGGTTGCCAATGCCCAGTTTCAGTGAAGGGCCAGCATCTCACTCGGTGTTTCCATGACCACAGGAAACATCCCCATGAGTCAGGTGCTCCCCCAGCCTCGCCAGGCTGGGCTGGGAGCCCAGTGTGGATGGAGAAGCAAAAGGTTCATCTAAACCCACTCTAATCAGCATGTATTTTTAAAGCAACTTCTGGAAAATCTAAGGGGAAGAAAGCTGCCATTTGCAAGTACACCAAACTTTTAGAGAAGAAAGCCCTGCAGTCCTCGGACCTAGGGCTCCTGGACTGCACCACAGTAGGCCCAGTGTCCTGGCCGCTTCCTGCCCTACCCGGCAGCAGTGTTCAGGGAGTGAGAGTAGCTATTTGGACCAGGCTTGGTCTCTGCCAGCTGGGCCACACCTCAGAGTGCCCCCTTTTGGCCTCAGTGCAGGGGCGAGGCCACAGGTTTCTAATTTCAGTGACCTGGGCTCCCTGCTAAGGAGGAACTGCCCTGGTGGGGCGCTGGGCACCATAGTTCAATGACCAGTAGAGTAGAGGGGGATCCTTAGCCCAGGAAACCTTTGCAGGACCCCCTGCAGGAGTTCCTGTGTCACAAAGGTCAGAAACATGTCACACACCCATCCCAGACCAGTTGCTGGAGGGTTCTGAGCTGCTCATGGCAGCAAAAAACATCAGGAGGGTGAGCTGGGGCTACGGGAGTTTTAGCCCCCCAACCCCAGCCGTCCCTTCCTCCCTCCCCTTTCCCCTATCCCAGCCCTTTCTCCCTGTCCTGTCTCTCCCACTCTCCCTCCCACTCCCTGCTTCCTCCCTCTGTCTAGCCCCCTCCTCCTCCACCTCTCCTTTACCCCTTCCCCTCTGCTTCCCTCTCTCTCCTTCCCTCACCCCTTCCCCCTCCCTTGTCCATGCTTCCATTTCTCTCTTCACTCCCCTCATGTCTGTCCAACTCTGGGAAGATTCACAAGAACTCCCTCTTTCCAGTCTTTTCCATTTCCTCAGTGTCCTTCACAGTAATGTCATGAGGCAGTGAAGGAAGAAGGACCCTTCCTGACAGTGTGACCGCGAGCAGCACCCCCTCACCTCAGGCCTGGCTGTGCGCTGAACTAGACGGTCAGTGCCACGTGCAGCTGTGTGCAGTGCCCAGGTCTAAGGTTCACTGCTTGTGTCACAGGTCCTGAGCTAGGCCAAGCACCTCAGGGACAGGGATCCTGGGTCCCCACAGCCTGGCTGTTACCCTCCTCTCTCCCACTCAGCTTCAGGCAGCTCCATCCTCAGACTCTGGCCCTCACTCCCCCCAGCTCTGGCAGGTCTGTCACATGTCACCTTCTCCTTGGGAGGGAGCAACCAGGACTCCTGGGCCCCCAGCTGCATGCCGGTCTCTGCTGTTTGAGCTCTAATCATGATGATTGCCCTGTCCTGTGCTCCTGTCCGCATAAGCCTGGTCAGCACCAGTGTAGAACTGAGGCCTCCCACTCAGCAGGGCCCCCCACACTGGAACATCAACAATAGCCACATTTGAGGATACTGCTGGGCTCTTAGTCCCCTCTGCTCAGAGCCCCACACTCTCAGACCCAGTCTCCTCGTCTATATAACAAGGTGACAGTTGCATCAAAGGTTGCCCTTGTGACTGATGTACAGATTTCTCCCCCCTTTGCAAGGTCCCCATTCCCAGGGCAATAGTCAATGCTCCCCAGCACCCAGGCAGGGTGGGCAACTCCAGTGCAGGCTCTCCCCAGGCAGGTCAGGAAGAAATGGTGGTAAAGGTCACCTGTCAGAGGATGAAGGCCAGTTTTATGAGCGTATGTCCCATCTTCCCTCATCTGCCCTCCCCAATATTCACTTCTCAGATCCTCCCCTAGCCAGGAGAAGGCCTTCCCTATGGAGCAGGCACCAGAACATAGTGGGCACACAGCTGAAGATCAAGGTGCTGCCTCAGCATCATCCAGATGTCAGTGGATCAAGGGGGTGGTGGGTATTATGGGGGTGTGGACCTCTTGGGGGCCTTCAACATCTATCTGTGAGATGGGAAATGTTCCTCCAGAGGTCACCAGGTCAAAGGCTCTCACTAGATCCCCTGGGGGGGACACTTCTGAAGTGTCAGCTGGAAGGATGCTGAAGCCCGGAACTGTGTCTTTGATTGGGATCAAAAATACAACATCACTTTGTAAGTTTCTGTTTTCCCTTTTTTGCCTGGTTATGAAATAGCATAGGCCATGCACACATAGAGAGCTGCGCTGACAGAGTGTCCTCTATAGAGAGGCATTATGGGTCTAAAAGAAACAGATGGATGGAGACAAAGGTCAGCAGCAACTGAGGTGCCACTGGAGAAAACCTGGCAAGGCACCCACATGCAGGGAAGCAGGATTCACATTTCACTGGGTCCTCTCTGTGCAATGTGTTTACATCAATGCAATTATTTAGCAATCTAGTAACTTCCCCCCATAATACCACAGCAGCATCAGTGATGACACACTTCTGAACACATGACACTACTGGTGACAATACTTTACAAGAGGAGCTTGAATCTGTCTTTTCCTGGCACACATAAGTGCCTAGAATTTTCATTACTTTATATTACACTATGGGGAATTAGCTAGAAAGTCTTTCTCATATTAAAGAATAGCTCTTTAGAAGAGATTCCCAGAAGCAGACTCTTTGGGTCAGAGCATATAAATATTGACAGGCATTTCCCAGTTGTTGCCCAGCAGAAGGGCTACAGATGTTTTCCCTATACCAACTGTGTGGAAATTTGGTTACTAACAGGTTTAATTTTTCAAATGGCTTTATTTTTCAAAACACTTATTCCACAAGAATTTGAAAATTGTGAATCATGGTTTCAAGTTTTATTTCTTTAGTTCTGAGGTCATTTTAAAAAGCATGGAGTGGCCATTTCTAGTTCTTTTGATTCACTCTAGTAGGGGTAAGACTCCACCCAATTATTTACTTGTCCCCATACACCTGGTGTGATCACAGAACTAACCCGAACCACCTGAAGTGACAGGGAGCACCTGCTACTCGATGGAAGTATCTGGATCCCTGGAGCCATGTAGGGGCAGCAGGGGAGCCCTGCCCCCCACATCACACTTGTAGGAGTGAGGAAACCACATGCTGGGGGTTATCTAATACCAAAGTCAAGCATGAGCTCTTGACCAAAACATTCAGTTTTAGTTATTTATCACAGTGTCACAAATTACTCTAAAACTCAGTGAGATTAAAAAAAAATAATCACTTGCTGTCCAATAATTTCTGTGGGTCAAGAATTTAGGGTGGTCTGGCTGGGGTGTCCTAAGGCTGCCGTCAGGTGCTGATCAGAGCTACCATCTCACCTGGAGGTTGGACTAAGGGAATCCACTTCCAGAGTTGTTTCCTCCCTCAGTCGGGCTGGTGCTGGCTTTCAATTGGGGGTTCAGCTCCCCAACACGGGGTGCCTCAGTGCTGTTTCAGTGTTCCCAAGGCAAGGCAGGACAGACAAAAGTCATAGCATCACCTCTGTTGTAGCTCACTGGCCACACAGACCAGCCTGATTGTGTGAAGGGAACAAGGGTGTGAATATGAAAGGGAGGATCCCTGGGATCATCTGGAGGCTTCTCTCACTCACTAAATCCACTTCTAGAAATTTATTCTTAAAAATATCATGGCTGGGGCCTCCCTGGTGGCGCAAGGGGTTAAGCACCGCACTGTGAAGCAATCTGCAGCCTCTGCAGCACAAGTTTGATCCCTGGCCGGCCAGGGAGCAACCCACATGGCAAAGCAGGCCTCTCCTGTCTTGCCCACTGCTCCCCTCAGCAGTGTATTTCAGTCAGTCTGCCTGTTCTGCTCCCCAATTTGTCTCTGGTGAATCCTCTTACTCCCCTGCATCTCTGGCCTGTACCCCAGCTCTTGTATGCATAAATAAAAAAATCTTTAAAAAAAAATCACAGCTGTGTGCACAGATTCAGCTACCAGGAGAGGATGGTCATTTGGTATTATTTCTAAATAGCAAGAAAGCAAAGGAGAAAATATAATGTCCATCAGATTGAATAAATCAGCTATGACCATAAAATAGAATTGGATGCATCATGTTGCAGAATTTTTACAGCTTGGAAAGATGTGTTCATAATACATAATTAAGGGACAAAATAATTTAAGTAGAATACTTCCTTTTTGTAAAAACATCTTTATATAAAAACACAGAAAATGTACGAAAGGCTATGGATCTGGGGAATGTGGCCACTAATGAGCCCACATCCCCCACCTTCCGCAGTGGTTGGAGGACACTTTCCCACCACATCCATCTGGGGCTCCTCCACTAGGACGCAGCAGCCCCTGTGGCTGGTTCTGAGCCTGAACTGTAGGAGACTTGTGCCCTGCCTTTCGCTGCAGCTCCCGACTCTCAGAGAGGAGGACACCTGAGAGGAGAGGTTTCAGGAAAAGGGAGATGCAGATGTGACCAAGTGGCAGCCAAGGGTGAGGGCAGGACATATCCCACCCTTGGTGCCCCTGAGGGTTCACAGTGGCTTCCACTGGTGATACAACACGAAACAAGGAAAAGCTGTTTCCTGGATGATAGGATTCTCTTCTTCTATTATCTTCATTTTATACATTTTGTACAATGAGCATATTCTCTAAATTAACATATATAGGCTTGAAGAATGTTTCAGTATTTCTATCTATTGCTACTATATGATTATACTATTTTATTTTCATGTTATTGTTCTATATTTATGTATTATTTATTTAAAATGCTTATTTTATTATTTATATTTTATTAAATGTTATTTCTATATTACAGTTTATTGCTTGTATAAATTTTATTTTTATGAATTTTATCTATTTATATGTTTTAATTCATTTACAAAGAGAGTGAGAGAGACAGAGTAACAAACTTTGGGGAAGTTTAAAGAGACATTTCCAGTAACCCACATGTCTCTGTTCCCAGACTCCTACAGATGTGTGGTAACTATAATTACAATCATCTCGCATCATTCATATCCTGTCTTTTCTCTGAAGTTATACTGTGAACACTCCACTCTGTTACCAGGAGTCCTTGAAGAGTAACATTTTCAGTAAGGACAGAATATCCTACCAAGTGAGTATAACGGAGTCTGCTGTGCCTTTCCCTGCTGCATTTCGATCATTTCCCCAGGATCGCCATGCTTAGAGAAAAGTATATCCGTGCTGCTACATTTCCTCTTCCTTTTGAGTTGTTTCCCAAAGACAAACTCACAGATTGGGGCTACGTGGATGGACGGGAATGAATATTCTATTCCCTGTTGATTTGAATTTAAATGCGTGCCTTCCAGAAGGAAGTAGCTGCACTTCTCTACCCATGGCACTCAACGCCAGCTTGCAACAGAACTAACCCTCACCACCTGAAGGTGACAGAGAGTGCCTGCTGCTAGATAGAAGTATTTGGATCCCTGGTGCCATGGAGGGGCAGCAGGGGAGCTGCCCCACCCCCAGTCCCTGAGGAAATGAACCCAGGTTTTACTCTGAGGGGCAGCTAGGGGGTAGTTAATGAGCTATAAACAGAACTTGAGTGAGTCCTCTGGAAAGCTCCTTAAGAGAGGCCAGCAAGGGCAATGAGTCCCTCTTTGCCACCTATGCCTGTTCCTTGTAAGAGGGTGGCATTTCCAGCAGCCACACTGGCCCCTAAGGCTAATGAGGATGGGAACTCCCTAATAACAGTATGGATATGCCATGCAAAACTTGCATTTCCCATTCTCTAGGCTTGTTTCATGTGCAAGAAAAATGAATCCTATATTAGTTAAGTCTTTGAAGCTCAGATTTCTATTACTAGCAACTGAACCACTTCTTAACCTCTTTAAAACATCACTAGCTTTGGTTTCAGCACACCAAAAAAATTTTAATTATTCTTCAAGTGGACTGTCACTGTTGCTCTAATGTGTGATTCTGAAGGGACATTATAGGCAGACAGGAGTAGCACAAGCAAAACTGTACAAGCAGGAAATGATGAGCGTTTCCAAGCACACAGAATGGCTTCCTGGAGTGTGAGGCCATCAGCTCTCACCTTATTGAGCGGTGTTGGATGAGACATAAATCAGTATCACTCATGTCATGGAGCCACTGAGGCACAGCATCCTGAAGGGGACTCAAGCTGCATGTCTGTGTTTCCATTCTCTCTACCCCTCTCTCACTCTAACAGTTCCCACAGCAGCAAGAGCAGGAAGGGCCCCATACCCCCAAACTTCCCCCACCCGACTCAGTGAATAACTGCCCATGAATATAGACCAGTTATACAGCTTGGAGAAGGAGCCAGAAAACTGACACCCTCCAGAGCAGGAGAGCCCAGCCCTACTGGAACTCTGTGAAAGACTATTTCTGTCCTCCCTGGTTCAGATGGAGACATGCCATGCAGCCGATAAATACCTCTTTGTGCTGGATGGATTTCCATCAACTTGTGAGGTGTCTTTAACGAAAGCGGCAATAAGCTGCCCTGGATTCTGCAGCTTGGGGCCAGGGACAGAACACGTGTGGCAATTTGGAGAGCCAACCCAGAGGCAGCAGCCTCTGCACAACACAAACAGCCTCCAGGGGAAGGACAGGCAGCCCGCCCCATGCGGGAGCAGCCTGGGGCTCACACGCAGGGCCTTGCTCTTGGACTTGCCGTAAACAAGCAGCTGGGAACTGAAGAGGGCTGGCAACTTGGCTCCTTGGGATCAGTTGGCACAGAATGAGCTCGGGAGGTCGGTCAGCCCCCACATACGCAGCCACAAGATCATATCTGCCTCCTACCTGTTCCCAATGGGTCAGAGAAAGGACCTTTCCTGGACAGACTTTGCGCCACAAACCTCTGCACCCCCTCCTTTAGCCAGGAGGTAGTCATTATGGATGGAATATCTCAGCGACCAAATATTCCCTTCAACCTGGCCAACCGCAAGAAGAGAAACCAGAGGCCAAACAATGAACTGATTCAGAGAAACTTAAAGGAAGGGGCTGTTAGCACCAATGTTTTCAGACCGAGCATAGACAAGGCAGGAGTCAGAGGGCAGAGGGCAGAAGATGAAGGGCAAAGAGTGAGTTAAATCGATCTGTTCCCTGAGCTTGCTGTCTTCGTCCTTTGGGAAACCCCTTTCTCTCATGAAATAGCAGTGGCTCAGGCATCACTGTTAGACTGGATTTGTTCATGGACTGCGAGTTGTAGCCAGTGATAGGAACCCCAACTGCACACACACACCACATCCATTCGCCCTGTGATCTGTACATACCCCCTCTTCCCTTCATGGATTTAGTCAAGTAAAATAACTAGAAAGGTGCCTTTGCAATAGAGTCCTTTCTAACACGTCACCCTGAGAGTCTTGGCTTTTCCACAGCGGACGCACTCATGGCCCATGCTCCAATAGAGTGTCTGCAAAGGCAGGTTCTCAAAAGTGGGATACCGCCCCCTCCATGCCCCTCAGTCAAATCCATAACTTGACTCCAATTCTACCTGGGACACAGAGGGGTGTCCCTGGACAAGCCTCTCAGGATCTGGTGAAAGGCCAGGGGTGGGATGGCCAGCTATGGTTCTGATGCTGGTCCAGGTATGAATACCACAACCAGAAGCAGGCCACAGGACCCATGATGTCCTGAAGCTGCAGACTGGCCTCTCCCCACCAGCGGCACGGACAGGGGACAGGAGGGATCTATACCTGGGCCCAAAGCTCCATAGGCTCCTGGGGCATTGACAGAGGTCTCCCAAGAAAAGGAAAACTAGGGGCAGTCTGAAGTCTGAGTTGGGCTATGCTTCTCCAGAAGGGAGTAAGGGGCTCCTGAAACCATCTGGGTTGGGTGGAGGGCGTGCAATCAAGACTGGAAAACCTAGTTTCAAATCTCAGTCCTGGGACCTCAGCCCCCATGATGCAATAATGCACAGTCAGGCCCCAGCAACACAGCCAGTTGTTCCATCCCTGGCCTCCTAGGGGCTCTGTGTCTACTTGGTCATAAGCTACAGGATTGTGGTCAGAACTCACAGCCAGCAGACAGGCCCAAAGGCAGGAGTGGGAAGTGTCCTGAAGGCTTTCCTGGGTACCGAAGGAGAGAGCCCCCTCTGGCGTCCTGAGTTAGGGGTCCCCAGGAGACAATGGGGAGAAAGCTGGAAGTACAGAAAGGATATCCTGGGGCACCTACGGGCTTCCTGGAGGTGGCAAGCCTGGCTTGGAGATAAAGGCATTGACCTGCAGTGACCTCCCTGCCAAACCATGGTCCTGCTTATGCTCTAGAGACATCTCGACTCCCACGCTCACCTGTGGCCCAGTTGCCTTGTGACCTAAGTCAGTGGTAGATGTCAACAGCAGGCCCATCATTAGTGGTTTGCAGAGCTAAGCTGAGGGACGTCTGGAGGCTGGACAAAGCGGACATGGCCAGGGCATGCCCAGGGCAGCACTGGGTGTAGGCTGAGGGTCAGTGTTTTGGAGGAGGGGAGAGTCAACAGCAACAAACAAGCTGGAACTTCAGGGCTATCCTGGGGCATAAGCGAAGGGCGCTCTGCAGGTGTCGGGGAAAAAACCACTTGGAGGCCTAGGGACAGAACATGCAGGCGGGAATGGAACGGGAGGGGGTGCAAAGGAACAAATAGAAGGGGGAGTGGAAGGGAGGGTCTCGGGTGTGCAGGGTCAAGGAATGAGGATTTTCACAGGACTTCAGAGGGATTTAAGTTGGTCAAGGACATAATCTGATTTACTTTTCAAAATAGGATTGTGTACAAAAGGGGAGAAAGAAGAGGGTGTTTCTATTTGTTATGCTGTACTTAAAAACAAAAACCTATTTATTAATGAATACAACATATTTTTAAAAATAGATTAACTGTACCAGAGAAACAAAAAAATTACAGTACTCTCAAAACAATATAGATTTTTTTTCTTACTCACCTTAAGAAGTCTTGAGGTGGGAAGCCCAGGAAAGGCCTCTGCTCCAAGTGCCATTGCGTGAGACTACATGCCCAAGATCTCTTCACCGTGCAACACAACTGCTGGAGCGCCAGCCATTACACCCATATTCCAGCCAACAAGAAGGAGTAAGCTCCACAGAAAGGCACATCCCTCTGTTTATGCTCCCTTCTCTGATGTTGCACAGCCCTTTTCATTCCAGAATGTAGCCACAAAGGCACCTAACCATAGGAAAGACTGGGAAACACAGCTCCTATTTTGGGGAGTCAATGCTGAGCTAAAATCAGGAGTTTGTAATAAAGGAGGAAAGGGAGATCAGATAGCAAGGTGACCACTGTTCCTGTCAAGTGGGGAAGACATTATGGTGCTTCCTTATGGTTCTGGCCACATTCCTCTGTCCTCCTCCCATCCTGCCAGCTTTGTGTACACCCTGGCAATGCTGAGCTCCCTGCAACTACATGACACCACAGAGCCCACCCACTGCCATGTAACGGTATGCCGTATGTGGGTGGTAGGTGGAGAGTGGGGGGCACCAGTTCCTGGGGAGTGCTAGTTGCTCCAGGCTTAGTGCTAGCTGCGTGGTCCAGTGGCCTCCTGCTGCTAGTCAGGGCAGGCATGTGTGGGCCAGCCTTGCAGAGACAGGAGCTGCAAGCAGGCCTGCTCACTCAGCCCTGGGCGCCGGGGCATGCCACATCATCTTCCCAATCTTGGCCTCTGCTCCCACAGCCCTCAGAGAGGGGGAGGAGTCAGCACCGGCCTCTGCAGGTTCCTGACACTGGGCCTGTCTAAGGGCACACCTACCCAGACCCCAGGTGACATGTCCAGGCTTCCCACAGTAACATAGCTCAGCCATGTTCATCCTCGTTCCTGGGGCAAGGAGGTGGCAGGCCTCAGACCCCTTTCTGGCTGAGACTGTGTCCCTCCTGATGAGAAGGGATCTAGCTCTTGCATACTGGTCTCTGGCCCACTCTGGACATGAAGTCCCCCTCCGGTGCCCCCCCACCAGAGCACCCGACCTAGGTTGAGTTGGCACGTAGGGAGTCTGGTCTGGGCAGCAAGGCCCTTGCTCTCCTGGGTGGTGCTGGCTGCTCCAGGTGGCAAAGTGAGGAGGGGCCAGGAGAAAGGCCCCCCTTGACCATAGCCCTGAAGTCCCACAGCCTACAGCGGCAGCCTTCCGTTACATGTGGGCGTGGCAGGGCCTGCCCTGTAGCACCACAGAGGGTCTTTGTGTTTCAGCAGGGATGGCCCCCCTTGCGCTCACATGCTGGATGCTAGTCTCGGCTTCCCATGGGCTACTTACTTCATCTCCACGACATGCCTGACTTAGACACAGTTCAGAAGCGCCTGATGTGACAGGGACACAGATTTGGGGTCATCTGTGTAAAGGCCGTGTGTGTCTCTGTGTGCATGCATGTATAGGTGTGTCTGTATGCACTACATAATAGGTGTGGTTGCGTTGCACACTCGTTTGCATGTGTGCTCGTTGCACATGCAGACCCTCCCCCGTGTCCCTGCATCTCTGTTGAAACACAGCTGATCCAGCCCCTTCCTCAGCCCACACCCCCCTCCCGAACCCACCCCTCTCCTGGGTCACCTCCACAGGGACCCACACCTCTGGGAACTGGTCTTGGACACTCAAATTTGTCTCTCCAGGACACTCTGAAACCTGGTGTGTCTTGCCTCTCCTGGGTACAGTCTTGGGTACATCTGGTAAAATGAGAGAGATGACACAGCAATCAGAAAGTCCCTCCCTGAATCACATGGTAGGGACACAGGGTGGGGCCAGCCCGGAAGATGAAACCCTGCACAAAGGCTGACCCTGTGCCACATGGCTCTATGCTGTGACCCCAAGTACATCAAGGGTAGAATTCAAGGAAAGCCCCCAGTGCCAGTATACAGCATTGTCACAAACCCAGGTCTAAATGCCCAGTTGTTCTTCCTGACTTTACTCCTGGATGGAGGGTATAATGAACTGCTCTGAGACTTAGTTTCCGCAGATGTAGAATGGTGTGGCAGGAGAGCCTCCTTCATGGGCCATCCCTGCTGAAACACAAAGACCCTCTGTGGTGCCACAGGGCAGGCCCTGCCACGCCCACTTGCAGCGGAAGCCTGCCACTGTAGCCTGTGGGACTTCAGGGCTATGGTCAAGACGAGCCGAAGGGTGGCCCACACACCATTGACCCCAGAGCCCAAAAATGGGCAGAGCACCAAGGAATCAAGTCTGACTGCCTCCAGAGTAGAAGGAGAAACTGGCCATGTCTTGGGGAGGGGGGCTCTCAGCAGGCTAGGCTCTGAGCACCTTGTTATGCCCAGTCTGCCCTCTCCATGGGTGCTGTCAGGCCAGGAGGGCAGACCAAGGTTTAGTGGAAGATTCCTTTTTCAGATAAATTGCCAGGGTGACTTGCATTTTCTGTGCCTTCAATTTCACTTACAATATTCCCCCTTGAAGCAGAGGCAAGGCCCAAGCTAGGGAAGGAAGGCGATCCCACCTGGACATGGAGTGCAGGTAAGGCATGGACTGGGTTCACTGCCCGTGGGTGCCTGCTTGTTGGCCAGGCAGACCCATTGGGAGAGTATCCAGTCTGCTGCACAGATAGCTACATAGTTCCCCAGGAGTTTTGAGTAATGGCCTCCTGGCCTCTCTGGCTCAGTCTCCTGGCTGGAGCCTCAGTTTCTTTGCCCTGTCAGATGAAGGGGAAGCACCCACCTCCCAAGATTGGAGGTGGAAGCCATGTGCTTAGCCCCACACAGGACTGTCTACCTGCCTTCTCTTTCCCTTCATGTTTACTCTTTCTCTGTCTGCCCCACTTGATCTGTTCCTACTGCCTTGGTGCAGCCCCTAGTGCCTAGAACAGTGCCTGGCATATAGTGGGTGCTCCTTGAACCCAGGCTGGGTTGGGTTGAAGCTGACCTCACTGCTGTATCCTGTCCTTGGGCACTGCTATTAATCCTCTCTGGTCTTCAGTTCATGGAGGAGAAAAAGATCATACTCACAGGGCCTTGATCAATGACCAGTCTTATGCACAGAGAAGTCAAGCCACCTGCCTGAGCCCACATAGCCACTGGCAGCTGTTCAAGGACTTAGCCTCCAGCAGCCTGGCCCCACCAGCCCTGAGAGAGGCTGTCCAGTTCCCTAGGGCAACTGAAAGGACAGAGAACCCCTGGTCCTGCTCACTGCAACTGTGTGTGTGTGTTGGGGGGAAGGGGTGGTGGAGAAAAGGGGATTGTGGTGGAAACATCAGCAGAAGTCTGGGGGAGGCACTCTGGAAACCGGGACTGGGAGCCAGCAGTCAGGAGGGAGGACACAGCGGCAGGTCTTCATGTCCCCACTAGGAGAGAGTGCCCGCCAGAGCTGGCCCGGCTGACTTGGCACTGCTGGTAGATGCCCCAAGTTCAGGGGAGCGGCTGGCATGGACGCGAGGTGCCCCGCTGCTCAAGAGTCCTGCCTCTCACCTGGGCACATGGAGGCTGCTCCCTCAAGGGCGACTTGCAGCACTAAGCGCACAGACCCGCGAGGATCCGCGCTCTGGCCCCGCTCAGGAGTTCGCGGGAGAACTTCCCCCGCGGGACAGCCGAGTCACAGCCAGAGAGGCCAGGTCGACGTGTTGACGCAGCCCGCGGGGTAGGCGCGCCCGGAATGAAATCAACACCCGCTGCTGCGGCGCCCGCCGACCTTCAAGGCGCGCTCGGCAGTTTGCCAAGCGTGCTTCATTTGATGAATTAAAAGTGTCCACGACCCGGCGCAGGAGGGGACACGCCTTACCCTTGACCACTCAGCCGGGGCCAGGGGGTGCCCGGGCGCAGCGCGCGGTCCTCTGCCGCGTCTTCCGCAGCCCACGCAGGGAAAGGGCGGGTTGTTAGCATCCCGCGCGCAGAGCTTTTTCGGGGCGGGGTGGGGGGGGCTGGGCGGAGTCTGGGGGCGGCGCACTGCGAGCCGGGCGGGGGGCGGGGGGCGGGCCGGGGCGGGCCGGGGGCGGGCTCGCAGCCGGGACCCAGAAGCGGAGGCGCTGGCCGTACTCAGGCCGGGAGCGCGGCGGCCCCGGCGGCCCCACCATGGACTTGAGCGCCGAAGACTACGAGCTCAATGGCGACCTGCGCCCGGGCTCGCCAGGATCCCCGGACGCCTCGGTAAGCCCCCTTCCCGCGCTCGCCCGCACCGTTGGCGCCTGAGTAGTGCTCTCGGGGCCCTGATCACTTCGGCAGGTGAGCAAGCAGGGGTGGGGGTGCGCGGGGCGGGCTGGAGAGCTGCGGCCCCGGGCGGTGTGCGTGGCCAAGGGACCTAGACGCCGCTCCGGCAACCCAAGACAGCCGGAGCCTCTTTTCTGGCCTCCCTGGGCCCCAAGCCTGTCCTCACCCCCTGGCCGCCCGCTAACTTTCAGCCCCCGCTTCTCCTGCCTACTGCTGCCTGGGGTGGGAGGAGAGGCTTGGCTCTGGCCCAGCAGCGGTCAGACAGTTACGTCATCCACAGAGTCCACGGTGACCGCACTTCTGAGTGCTCTTATGGGGAACTTGGGCTCATGTGGCGTGCACCTCTCTGCACCACAGACCTAGAAGGCAGAGGCACTGGGCAGGTGGGCAGTGTTCCCATCCCATTAGAAGGTCCAGACTGTGGGTGCCCCCCCACCCCTCCTACTCCACCCCCCCACCTCACCCCCCCACCACACACACACACACACACACAAGCGCGCACACGCGCGCACACACCCCCCCCTGCCAAAAGGTCCCTCCCAGCTGCCCTGGATCAGGGCTGGAGCTGAGATCCATGCCTGGCGTAGCTTAACCCAGCACTTCCCCAGCGCCTGTTTGTGGCATAGTCCTGGGTATGGCTGGCTGGTGATTTGTTGACTTTGGATATTCTTTCTATTTCTGAACACCTAAGCATGGAGGCAGGGGCATGGCCTCTCAGAGACCCACATTTCTTAAGTGTGGGTGACAAGGCCTAGGTGATACCTTAGTGACAGGCCATAGATGAGGACATGTAAGGAGAGCCCTCCATGTGTCCCACACTATAATCCTCCCATCCTCTCTGTCCTTGGCAAAGCCCCAGTATCATGCTGGCCCTTCAGTAACCCTGAAAGCCTTCATGCTTGTGCAGGACATTTGTGTGGGTTACAGATGAGCACACCAAGGGCTGAGAGATGTGCAAAACCCCAACAACCTGCCCACCCTGGAGTGGAGGCACTTGGAGCAGTGAGCTGTGTGTGCTTAGGGAGGCTGCTTCACCTCTCTGGGCCTTCTATCCATGCACTTCAAAGGAAGAGCAATGACCCTACCTGCCTTTGGGGAAGTGGGGGTCAGGAGGGACCTGTCTATTAACTAAGGGTCA